GTCTGAAGCTTCCTGTTCTGACATGTTAGTTTTCCTGATATTTAATAATGTTTATTATGTTTGCATATAAGCTCAAAACATTAATGCAAAAGTACTACTTTAATTATGGTTATCATCAGGTAAAATGTAAGTATTAGTGGTTATCTTTAAAAGCCTGTTTTCCTATAAATACAGTAAATTGAGTAAAAAAAAAATCTATGGAAAGAAGAATTTTGTCCTAATCTTGATTCTGGTACTAGCTATTTGAACTTCGATAACTCTTTACCCTTTGCCGGGCCCCAGTTTTCTCCTCTATGAATTTCAGCGGTGCGGGGGGGTGGGGTGGACTAGTTGACAAGTCAGGCCCCTTCCAAGTCAAACATTCCAAGATCCTATTATCTTGATATAAAAATAATAATCTTTCATAAAAGCTCACAAACATAATACATGATCAAATATCAGAATGACTTGGAAAAAACATATATGATTTGCTATCTGGTTTATCCTTTGCAGCAATAGGCAATTCATTTGGCATGTTTTTGATTGTATAATTTAATGACAATATAAACAGTATAGTTTTGTTACTTTTCCTTTAAAAAGACTAACGCAAAAATGAGTTAAAGCTAACAAAAACTACTGTGACATCCATTTGACATTCAAAGTTTGTTTCTTAGCAAAATGGCCAAGGATATTTTGACTTGATACAGAATATATAATATAAAGACTTTTAGACTTAAAAATCTTCAAACATCATTTGAATTTAGCAAAACATAAGCAAAATTTTAATATCAAAGTGCTAAACAGTACTGCCTTAAAAGTCACTGCAAATGAACCATAAAATAACTGCATGAGAATTAACATTTATTGTACAAATGGTTAATAAAAAGACACATTATAAATATATATGTAACCTGCTATATTTATATATATATTTGCTTATTTAATTTCTAATTGGTGTATCCAAGTCACTGTGAACACCCCATTTAAGTACTCTGTAACTCAGCTTCCAGGAGCTGGTGGTCTTGCAATAAATACAGGCAAAGCTATTACAGTATAACGTGCATACAAATGTTTATACAAATAAGGACACTATGCAACAAATTATCTCATAGTAATATGGCATTAACAGTATAAACATACAAAAGGGAGTACGAACACGGAATGTTGAAACGCAGCCCACTAATCCTTTCTAGTACTTACATTCATACTATTTTTTAAAAAATAAGACTCGCTTGCTCTCCAAAATTGTCTCTTCAACCGATAACAAAAATTAAGTTATATATATTAAAAAACCTTATTACCCCTGGTGTTTACCCTGTATGATCCAGTTCCTACTCATTTGCATGTACTTATCTAGGGATCAAACATTTGAGACTCATCAAACGCTCCTGGGCTTCTGAACGAATGTGTCAGTCAATTGCTATAACTGAAGCAAGTTTAGGGAACTCTGGCGGGGTTGACAGAACACAACCAAAACAGTTGTATGCAATCCACCTTATAATCTGAGCTCTCTTTAGGACAGCTGGACAGTCAGGGCAGGGATCTGGATCCATTAAGAATGGACTGAAATCTTGGATGGACCATACCTCAGAAGGGTTTTAAAGGGCAGGCGGACAAAGCCTCTGCTAGGAAATTAGCATGTGTCATTTGCTAACATAACTGCCTCCTTATTATTTCCATATAAAATAAAGGAGAGTTAATAAACAAGACTTAGTAAGACAGCACTTTAAAAATTGCACTTGTATATGGAAGTGAACAGCCATTATCATTTTGCTATGTCTGATTGATAGGTTATCCTCCATCTTTCACCATTTGTTAAAATAAAGGAAGAAAGAAATTAAGAAGAGGGAATTTCTGCCTTGTTTGCACCACATATGTACCCTTGAAACAGGAAGTGTATTCTAAAGGGATCATCTCAAGACACATCCTACCCTGGCGAACAACCCTCGGCTGTTCTTGTTTTTAAATACAAAGCAACTATAATTGTATTCCCCAGAAAGTTTTAAAACAGTTATATTATCCTCTTTTTTTTTTTCCTGCTGGGATAGCATCGTCCAAAAGTGCTTTGTTAGCAATTTCTTAGAAAACCTTCATGAACTATACCCCCCTCCCACCCCGACCCCAAAGCCTAAATATAAAACACAACCCCAACACAATACTCTGCAAGTTTTCTGGCTTTAGGTTGTAAGGAAAAGTGCCAGAAAAAAAAAAAAAGTCTTTCTTTTTTTCAGGAGCTGCTTTTTCCTCTTAAGAAAAGACAGGAATGGTAAGTGTCCAGACCCATCCCTCTGCTGCTTAGCAAGCAGGTGCTAGCAGATGAGGCGGCTCCCTGCTCAGGCTGCTCCTACTCAGAAGGGCAGGGTGTCCAGGAAGAGCTTGTCAATGATGGAAGGTGGAGACACCAAGTCTTCCAGCTTCAGGTAGAAGATGCGCTGGAGGCCCAGGGTGCAGATCTTCCGCAGTTCTACCAGGGCACTTAGGACCTTGGTCTCAGTGGACTCCAAAGCCTGTCCCTTACTCTGATGGTCTTTTAAGCTGCTTGTGATCTTGTTGCATAGCTCCTCCACTCTCTTTGGTTCTTTTAACCCATGTCGTTCTGCAGAGGCATAGAAAAGTGATTTTCTTAAAGCAAAAGTCATCAGAAAAACAAAGCAACTACCCAGACATTCTTTTCTTCTCTTGCTGTAAATAAAAGGAGGCTCAGGGACCAAGAAATATGGATTTCTCCCCAACTTGGCTAGTTGTGTATGAGCTGGTTGAGTTTTCCCTTCTCTAAAAAAAGATTAGCATTCATGATCTCTAAAGTTCCTTCCAGTTCTGATGTATATAATTATACTAAAGTACAGTCATGAAAATTTCCAGCAGCATGTCAGTGGCTTGTAACTCACAGATGGCTTATCTCAATGCAACACAATATAGAAAAAAGGACACTGGACTTGGAGTCAGATAGACCTGGGTTCCAGTTTTAGCTCTGTCACTCACTAGAGGCGTGACCTAATCCCTCTAAGGCTCAGTGTCTTCCTAGGAAAATGGGGATTATAGGGTGGTAGATACACAAGTCTTTGTTGTACTCTTCTTTCCTTTCTGTGTGTCTTAAATATGACACGTAAATCAAAAGAAAAAGTGTAATTGCAATAAAACCCACCTTACAGATTATTGTGAGGCTCAACTAAGATGAATGCTACATGAAAATGTCTTGTCAACTGAAGAGCACTACATACATGGTACAGTCAGCACCTAAGACAATGCCCGACACACAGAAATAGTTGGTAACTGTAGGGTCAAACAAAAGGCAATAAAGTTCCCTAATTCCCAAGCTTTATAGTGTATGATTTTGCTTTCCCCAGGAAACTAATAGCTAATCAGCCCAGATGCAAATCTGTCCTTTATAGTTTATCTTTACTAAATACATAATCCCCTTGTTTCAGTCTCAGAAGAAGCACCCAAGAGTGAATTTCAAGAGTACCAGCCTGCAATGGTGTTCTGTCTAAAGTTATGTTCCCACCCCCACCTCCACCCCGCCACCAAAAGCAAAAAAAAGCAGACTGCAAATTCAGCAGCAAATTTCAAGAGCTATAAAATGTTCATAGCCTCTGACCAAGTAATCCTACTCTTGGGAATTTATCCGAAGGAAAAATTCAACAGAAGGATAAAACTGTACGCATTGGAGACATTTGGACATAGCATTATCTACTTTAAAAACTGGAAAAAGATAAAGAGTGGAAGAATAGGATAACTGTTGAGTAAAAAATGATACATCCACATAATGGAAGATTCGGTAGACATCAGAAAAGGCAAATACTAAGACTATGAAGCAACATGGAAAAATATATAACATCACATTAGAGAATAGAATATAAAATGGTATCTAAGCTGTGATTACACCTTTGCAAAAATTATTTCTTTATACAGAGAAGGATGAATGAAAACGAAAAGTGAAAATACTTATGAGATTGTCAGATAACCCCTTTCTTTTAAAAATTTCCAGGTTAATGTTAATTGTATAATAAACAACGTTAAAATAGATTTGGTCCTTTGTGAAGCCCTCTAGCAGCTGTAACATGACCAGCCATCTTGTTGATAGTACATTCTATTAATACTGAGATATATCACATTAGTTCATAATCAGGGAGAGATGTTTTTCACAGAATAAAATACCAATCCATTGATTTAGTCTTTCCCTTCCTTTCAGTGCCTCATGTCTTGCACTATACTCCAGATCCTATATTCATTATCTGGATAAAGAAACTGAGCAATGTGTTGCCTGGATTTTGGGAGGGGTTGATTATGAAACCTTGCAACCAGATTTTCTCATGGCCAAACTCACAAAAGATGCCCCAGAGTTTTCCCTGCTCTCCAACCAGTTGTGACTGCTCAATAACTATGGCAACCATTATTTATTCAGTGAATTCAAGTAGAGATCGATACCTCCTGCCAGCTGGATCAACCCTAGGCCTGGAATTCCTTGAGGAATTCAGAGACACTCCTGTTAGAAGCCAAAGGCACCTTCTTTGTTGTTTTGAACAGCTATTGGATTTGTGGCTTCTTCACTTTTTCAAAAGGGCTGAGATAAAATTCAGTCTCCATGCAAACTACTGCCAGCAGCCAGCAGATTTTCAAATCACTAGGGAGTCACTAAGTGTCTAGGAGCTTCCTAGTAATTTGAAATTCCTCAAAACCCCAATCACTGACATCTTACTTTAAGGGATCCCCTTTCTTCTTGCAGCTTGGTAAACATGGCTGCAAAGCTGATATTGAGCGTTCATAAATTCTGGGGGAAACCAGACATTTGGACTTGCCCCCTTCCTAGAAAATTATATACAGATTTTAGTTTAAGATCTTTGTCCACCATGAAAAACAAAAATAGCTTCTCAATATTTCTTGCATTTTGATTCACATAATTTTTATCCAATACTTTAGTATTTTAACTCAACTCTATGTATTCAAAACTTTAAAACACAATTTATAGAAACGGTTAAGTAACGGATTTATGTCATAACCATAGTACATGTGAATTGGAAAGAATCTGAGTCATTTAGTTCAAACTCCTATCTAAGATATGACTCTTCACTACAAGATACCACAGAGATTGCCTGACATGAGCCAGACTAGGAGTTCATTATTTCATCATGACAATAAAAATATGTTTAAAAGCACTTTCTATTACATTCTTTTACCTACATTATTTTATCACACCTTCACAATAACCCTTTGAATTAGGCAAGACGAAGATGATCTTTATTTTAATAGGTAAGAAGGCTAAGGCTCAAAGTGTTAAGTGACTTTTTCATGGTCAAAATTAACAAGCGGTTAATTTCTTTCACTCCAAGTCCAGAGACATTTCTGTTATATCAGGCTGCCCTGAGCATTGTTTTAGAACATTTCTCCTCATCTTGAGATGATCTCAGCCTCCCTGGAACTCTCTCCTACTTTTTGTGTACCTAATTAACTAATTGATTAATTAATTCTTTCAACACATATTTATCAAGTACCTATTCTGTGCCCAGCAATGTTGTAGCCACTGGGGTTAGAGGAGTGAACAAAACAGATCAACAGATCACACTTCTAACCTGTGTGGTGTTAGCATCTAAAGACAGTGTTGGATGCCTGTGGATTTTAGCTATCCACGCCATAGACATCTCTGCTAAGGGAGAGAGGAAAGGAGGCAGGGAAGAGGAAAAGAGAGAGCAGGGAGTGAGATGGGGTGAAGGAAAGAAAGAGGTGGGGGAAGAGACTGATTGAGTGAAATGATAGAGCTATTTAGGTCTGTGCTCATGCTTTTCCCTCTCTACCTACTTAAAATCTACTCATCATTAAATCACAGAGCAAATTTTTCCTCAAGGAAGCTTTTCCCTTTTTACTGCCGGTCTGGATGATGTTCTCCTATGGCACTCTATTTTTTCTCTTTGAAAGATATAACAGGTTAAAATCAGATATTTATGTGACTTTTGCCTGCCTCCTCCTTGAAATGTAAGCTCCATGGGGACATAGACTGTATTTGCTTACCATTGTTATCTCTAGCACCAAGCCTATGTAGATAGGTGATACCCAATAAATATCTGTTAAATGAATATGTAAATGGAGGTTAAGGACCTATAAAATATGATTAAATGGATATTAAATGTGTAGGTTGCTCAGAATAAATATACAAGTAGAGAGTTATTAAGAAGTTAGCAACAGTAAAGAACTTTACAAACTCTAAAACCTACATCAGATGTTTTGGAACCAGATTTCCTGCCTACAAAGCCTAGCTCTGCCTCTTATTAGCTGGGTAACTTTGGGTCTGGGTCCACATTTGTAAAACAGGGCTCATAATGGTCCGACTCATCGGTTGTTGTGAGAATTAAATGAATTAATACATGTGAAGTATTTGAAACAGTACCTAGCATATAGTAAGTACTTAAATATTAACAAGTATCCTCTGTGTCCCAAACTCAACTTGTTAATTGCCCCTTCAAATCAGCCACACCTCTCAGTTGACCTATGAATGATTCCATAGTCCTTCCCATCACTCTCATAATCGTCTCTTAATAATTCCTTCCCCCTGGCCCATCATATTTAATGTACTGCAAAAACTTTGGTTATTATCTCTGTGATGTTCCTTGCATCTGTCTCCTCCTCTCAACCTCACTGTTCCTGCACCAGGTCTTCAATATCTGTTACCTAGATTGTTTTAATAGCTTTCGATTTGTCTCTCTGCCTCCCGTCTCTGCTATAATTCACCCCAAGTACTTTTAAATCTATTTACTAAACAACATTAAATAAAATAGCACGTGTAGAGAGTTCTTGGCACAGTGCCTGACACCGAGTATTTTTAAATAGTAGCTATTATTAATTTGATGGGATCCCAATTACCAATAGCTTCCCTTATCCCTTGCTACTTAAGTGTTGTCCCTGGACCAGCAGCAGCATCATTCCTTGGGAACTTGTTAGAAATGCAGAATCTCAGCCCCCTCCCCCAAGACCTACTTAATTAGAATCTGCAATTTAACAAGATGTCCAGCGATCTGCATGCACATGAAAGCTGAAGAAGCTCTGCTTTAGTCAATCCTAGTCCCCATAAGATGCTTGACCCACCCACTCTACACCTAGCATTCATTCAGTCTCTGTTGGTAAACCTTATTCTCCAAGGCAGGAACTCATTCCCCATGGGCACTTGTTCTAATTTTAAACAGTTTTGTCTACTAGAAAGTCTTTCTTATACTGAGTGAAATTTTGCCTTCTTACAGTTCTCAGTTCTGCCTTTTAGGCTCATGTAAGAAACATTAAACCCCCTCCCCTCAAGGCAAGAAGCCAGGAATGAGGAAAGGGATAATGGTACCATCAGGAGCCCCAATGAGAAAAGCAACTCATCTTTTCGAGCAGGTCTCAGGGCACAGGTCAACCCAGAGACAACAATAACACAGGTTCAGCCAAAGAGGAAGGAGAAGAGGGCTCTGGGGGAGAGATGTGTGTGTGGCTCAAACACCAACAAACAGGATTTCCTGCTCTGAGCTCCACTCCTTTCTCTGGGAAGTCATCTCACTGCTACTTCTCATGTGATATATAACATTCTTTACTGATGGGCAGTCCCAGAGGCAATGAGCCCAGGCCAGT